TCTGTCTGTCTGTCTGTCTTTCTGTCTGTCTGTCTGTCTGTCTTTCTGTCTGTCTGCCTGCCTGCCTGCCTGTGTCAGCCTCAGCACACAGAGCTTCCTGTTGGGACATTTAGTTTATAAAAAAACAATAATAAAAAAATAAAAATGTGAGAAATGATTCATGGTTCTTGTTGAATTTCTTTATGATTTAAGCATCGGTTCAGGTTTAACAGGACTTCCTGGAAGCATTTGTTTCCTGCAGCAGCAGGTGGAAACCCACCAACACGTTCAGGTTTAAATGGCCACTAATTAATAGAAAAACACTTTGGATGATGAAGCTCTGCTTTTTGGGCTTTACAATCAGATTGAGCCTTTGCTGGTAATTAATCTCCATTTAATTTTTGCTGAGATCCAAACAATTTTTCATTTTTGTTGCTGTGCAAATACTCCAAACAATAGATGTTTTTGTCAAAAAGGTAAATGTATTGTGAGACATTTTGTTACTGAGTGATGTAGATCCATTTTAACACCATTAGTCCTTTTGTTCCAGGTAGGTTATTATWATTGTCTTTATTTCCTTATYGCTGCTGAGTCAGGTAACAGAACARTAGAGAATAAATAAGTCAAACATTTCATAATGTCAAAGAATGTATCATGGGGATAAAAGCATCATACAGGAAGTTCAATATTTGTACACCATGGTGTCACCATTTACAAAGTTTAAAGTTTGATGCAGAGTTTTTCTAATCAAAWCATTTAGTTTTGGAGGCTTTTATTTTGATGATTCAGGTCAAATCCTTCAACRCAATCTGACGGGTCTAAACATCATCAGAACAAATGTAAAATTGTATTAAAGTTYCTTGATGTAAACCATAAAAACTCATGAAAAGGTTAAATGATGAAGTTTGAGCAGCTGAGCTCCTTGATCCTACATGTTAATAAAAGAGTTCTCTTGTTGGTTTTGCTGAACAGACAGTGATGAATCAGACATTAATGTGTCTGCTGGCTCTGACATTTCACAGTCTGTCAGACAAACACAAACACATCACACACTTCAGTCTGAATTCATCTGAYGAGACGCGATCCTTACCTTTCTCTTGTTGTTGGGGCTCACGTACAAATAGCTGAGGATCGTCTTGATTCCCACTTTGTCGTTCAGCTTCTGGTACGTCGCTCCGTAGTCTGTTGACCTGAAATTTAATCAGAAAGTTCTGATGAACGCTCAATGGAGAAGTTGTCACAATTAAAAGAATCCCTGAGGGGAGAATGAGTGTCTGTGTGATCACTAGAGCAACAACATCCCAACAGTACCACCAACAGTACTTAACACTCATGTTAGTAAACTATTGGAGTAATTAGAACCCAAACCATGTA